TTTTCTACATTCAGGACTTCTTTGACGAAAGTTGCATGCTGATATGTTGTAATCTCTCCTCCGCTCTGATGTTGTTCGCGGACTCTGAACTCTATGCGAGGCTTAATGCTGTTGGCAATGGAGTTGACAATGTAGCCTAACGTTGGCTTAACCTTAAGTCGACGTTGAGCAGCCATTTGCCAATCCATTAGCTTCTGATGTGGAATACGAGATCAATAACACCGAAGGGAAATTGTCCGCACCGTGAACACGCGCCAACTCTCCCTGTTCCGAACTTCAATAATTCAAGGAGCTGCAGTTTTTTCTTCTAAAAATCACTAGAGAGAATGAACAGTTTTTTCACTGTCAGCTTTACTATAAATTCCTTTCGACGTTGCCTGTAAACTGGCAACCAATAAACAAATAAGAAATGAAAGGGACCCTAGGGCCTTAAATATACAAATTATTATGAGTAAAATTGGAAGAGATATATTGCATAGCACTCTAATGAAAGATTAATATAATTAATTCAGGCCGACAACGAATCTCCCCTTCACGTATCTCATAGGAAAGCGTCACTGTTTGGATCCTGTTCGGGGATTGGCAGCGAGAATTAGCTTCAAGTAAATGCAATTCCCATGCTCTTATATTCATTCAATGAGTTCCAACTTACACACAACATTTCCCAACATCTTCAAAATGGTTCAGATATTGCTCAAATGGATGAGAACACCTTCATCATAACAGTTTTATTGGCGTCCCAACAATCGCCTGTTAGAATTGCACCAGAGCCACAGTTTATTCTATATCATATGGACGTCTGTGTGCTGGCCATTTCAAAAGCTTAGGACATTTATAAACAGCTTTTTTTAGCTTCAGTTGACCAAAAATTAGCGTTATTTTACAGCCACTGCCAAAGACCTTATTTTTCTTTAAAAATAGCCTGAATGATCTCATAATCTTTCAGTCTATATTTAACGTGCACCATTCATTCGCATAGGTTCGGCTCTAGTGTTATTCCGTTTAAAAGCTCATATGAGATATAGGGATTTAAGTTTTTTATGGACAGCACAATAACACCTGTACGCTGGTGTAAAATGAAATCTTCATAATATGCTGCCACACATTTTCGGCCAGGCCGCCCACATTTTAAGGACCCTAAATTAATATGGGCTATTTTTTCGTTCGGGCAAAGCATTTATTTAGCAATTACAAAATAAAATTATCAGTTTATCTACATCCTCTGAGCAACAGAATAAAGTTCAGAAAAACGCTGGATTATAATTCCTTGCTGGCACTCAAATGTATATCTGCGTATGCTGGTGTTTGCCCTGAACTTCAGTTTCTAGATTAAGCTTGAACAACTTGGAAGTTGGTTTCGCTTCATATCCCTACTGGTTGTAGAAAAAACAGCATCAAATTAAGTAAAACTTTGGTTATAGGAGTATACCCTACTTTATAGAAGTTTGCCTGTTAATGTTTACTCAAATGGATTTTAAGTGGGTTAAATGTAGGCGGTCGAAAGGAAACGCTTTTGTGCACGCGTAAGCTTTCTACACTGAGTACGCTCGGTTTTCGTCGACTGAAGTATCGAGTTTCACCGAGATTCTGAATTTTATAACAACGCCAGGTTTTGGCTTTTATGCGATTCGATTAGCTTCTGGCATATATTTCCTGTATTTTACCGTTATAGTTCTCCCTTAGCACTTGAGGATTTGTGTACTTAAGGTACGTGTCTCCGTACCGCGGTATGGAGATTGCGCGGGCGCCGTTGTGCTCCTATTTCCCTAGAATGTTTTCCGCTCTACGTTTCGATTTGGAGTTGTGTTATGTACCATAGTCCGGTTGTTTGCATACCAGCTGCTATGTAATCAAACGGACTGTGCTATGTTTTCAGGCCCAACTTACCACACACACAAGTGTTACACAAGTTCCTATTTACCCTTCCGTTGCAACAGACTGATACTTACCCCTTCCTTTTGGATAGCGCTCTACTGCTAGTCTCTGAGATGTTTTACATTTTTTTCTTCCAATTGCGTTAAGTGTCATACTGAGACGCAATACTTCGAGTCCAGACTTAATTCAACGGGATAATAGACCTAACAGTTGAAAATGCTTTGTGTATTTGTTCCTTTCCTAGTTGCTTGTTCCTACATACATGGAAGAAACTGTGTAACCGACGAAGTCTTTGTCCCCTTCTGCTCCCTCCTTCCTGCCATTGACGTCTTTTTTACGCTATGTAGGGTTTACTTTCACGCTCTTTTGCTTCTGAGTCAATGTTGCTGACCTTTTTACCCTTTCTTTTGAGTATGTCAGGTCCGCCATCGGTAGATCAGCCAGGCACAACTGACTTATTAGACGATAATCTAGAAGAAAAGACCCTCGTGGAAGAAAAAGGAGAAAGTAGGCCTGCTACAACACAAACGCCAGTCGTCGAACCTAACTCACCGAGTATATTATTTTCCCTCTCTTCAACCATGAAGTCAGCCCTTTCCTCCGTTTTCTTAACCGCCCTTGGCCGGTAAGTATGAGAGTTATTGTACGTTAACTTTATTTTGACACCTCGTCCAAACGGTGATCTTATTTACCATGTCTTAGAATCCCTAGACGACATTCATTTTGTTTACCATTGTGTGTCTTCCTGTCGAAACTTCTCGAATGGTGACACGTAGGTTATGTACCTTGTGTCCATCAATCAACCCTTTTTACTCGCAATTCATTTTTTCCTGTCAAAAGGACCTTTCGGACAAATATTGCTTCTTGCGCCGAAAAGTTGATATGGTTACCTCAGCTTAGCTATATGTACCTTTGTCAGAACAATTAACATTCAAGTTTCTAATTCATTCATTCTTGCCCTGCTTTTTAGCCGAGCAAGTTTTTAGTATTTTTGCTGTCAGCTAGCAAGTCCTGTAGAACCGTCCAGTAGGTATAAGTTCGGTAGTTTAAGTCCTCAATTGCCTTAAGAATAAGTTTGTCCTTTGTATGCGAGGACTATCTCCCGAGGGATGCGTGTTGGTTGGTTAAGATAAACTAGCTCTATCTTGCATCTACCTCGCTGTCATTTTCCATGCATGGTGTAACGATGAGAAGACAACGGCGATTTAGTTGAAACCATGTTTGCGCATGCTACACTCATACTGTACCGTAACGGTGCACACATCCGTATCCAATGAGAGATATCGGATATCACATGAGTAAGAGTTCCGTAAAGACCACAGTAAGAAGAAATTACAGCCTGACCGTCAATCCAGAGGAAGGCAGCCTTATTCCGTCAGTTGGCGGCCTCCCAAACCACGCATGTTCAATCTTCGTTGTTACAAAATGTGTTTTTTTTTTATATCGGTGGCGATCGCGTGTCATGCCAACTAAAAATGCGATTAGGCGCAATGACTGACGCTGTATTAAGCCCCTGTCAAAACTGTGCCCAACGCAAGACCATACGATCAATGCATTGTCTACCATTGCCCACGTTTACGAAGTTCATCGCATGGCTACTGTTTAAACTATGCATATTTTTTAATAACTGATTTTGTATGTGCGCTTACGATCGAGCAGGCCATTGCACTGCCTAAGTGCGAGTTCCACTGTCGACGAGTAAGACTGACCCGGCAGTTTTTGCCCGAACTCAAGACACTTGTCCTATAATAGGGCTGCATATTTCTGACTCGACAAATGTTTCTGTTTGGCAGGCAGGAATCTGTTCGCATGACCGTGAGCGTTGTAAACGTGTACAGGTCCAGCCAGGTATTTGTGACAGACGGCACAGACGGCTTATACCTGTTTTCTTGTCGTATAACTATTGATTTTATAAGGTTTTTCATCGACCATATTAACCTATAAACAAAAGAATTATCCTGAATCATCAGAGTTCGGCAAATTGATTCTTACGTTTCTCTGTGCTGACTGAATGTGTGTCGGGAGATGCCTTTTTTTATAACTTACCTGTATCATTAACCTTGTAGTATTATTTCACTTTTGGTGCCTGCTGAGGGCTGTTAAAGGTTCTTCTTTCAATTGCCTTTAGGGAAATATGACCCTTTCTTTACTTTTTTAAATTTTATAGTACTCTGCCCATCATCGGTAACGCTACTAAGACTGTCGCTACGCGTTCCATAAAAATCTACACTCGAACCGGCGACAAAGGAACATCTGCTCTGTTCACCGGCGAACGTCGTCCAAAAACAGACGAGGTCTTTCATGCCCTAGGTACCATCGACGAACTTAGTTCCTCCATTGGCCTCGCCCTGGCTCATTTGGCAGAGCGA